CAAATCAGCCTTGGTTTCCCTGATCCAGACCCTATTCTCTGGCATCATTGAGGGGCTCCTTCAATGCATTAGGGGATGAGGTGGGCCTATGGGGTTATAAAGGGTGACAAGGCTGGGTAGAGAGGGAGTAAAAGGATGTGACGTGGGTGGTGGCAGTGAATGGTGATGGGAGGGTTGGGAAGTGTCTGCTGAGCCCCTGGGTGCAGGTGAATGTCTGCTGCAAAGTGAAAGGGAATGTTCAAGGGCAGGGAGCCCTGGGGGTGCTGGAGGGTACCGAGTAGGAGCTCGGCTGAGGAGACCCCCCCCCAGGTGGTGCTGAAGGCAATGAGAGGCAGACACCCAGGTAGAACAGCGAAGTGGGCATACCTGGCATGTCAGCAGCCTCGTGAGCTGAGAGCCTCAGGGGCTGACAGCATTCCAGGCTGAAGGCCCCAGCAGATTCTCTTCATGTATTTAGTCTCTCTTAAACAGGTGATTCTTATTAATAAGCAGGTGTTCTGTATTTACTCATAACTCATAAACATTCCAAGCAGGCAGCTGTTACCCACCTACCACTAATCACAAACTAAATGGTATTCTCCTCAAGGGAGCCAGGAGGGCAGGGCAAACAAAGTTTCTCAACAGGAGGGTTTGTGTGGTGGAGAGTGGGTGAGAGCAGAGCTGGCCCCTGGCTGTTGGTGGCAGGGGTCTGGGGTTGCGTCCACACGGGATCATCCCCTTCCCCACTCCCCCAGCCACCCAAGGTGCCCCCTTTCCCTCTCCAGACAAGACCAGGGAAGAGTACCTCGGTTTACAGCTGCTCTGGGGCCCCAGCAGAATAGAATCTGCTAGAAAACGTTTCGTCCCTCCCCACCTCCCTCCTCAGACCACAGCTCCGTGCTGCAGCCCAGGGTTCCCGGTTCCCTAAGACAGGTGAGGCTGGAGAAGGGGCGCTTCACCAGGGCTGCCCGCCCCCACTCGCCCTCTCCAGCCCTCTCACTCCTCCCCTCCTCTTGCCATCACTTTTTCGCCCTCTTCCAACCCAAGTCCCAGTCTGCAGGATGGAGGGGGTGTGTGGAGACGGGAAGCAGCCACGGGGACCTGGAGGAGAAGGGAAGAAGCCGGCGAGGGAACTGAGGGGCAGCTGCAATCCACTGGGATCGCCCCTGTCCTTCCAGAAGCCTCCCCTCCTCCCGACCTTCCTGCAATCCAAGCCCCCCACGTTCGCCCCCAGACCTCAGCTTAGGGACCATCTGGCAAACTCACCGCCCCGCCCTGCCCTGTACCAGCCCAGCAGCAGCAGCGGAAGCGGGAGGTGAGGACCCAACTCGGTGACCGCTGCAGATGCCACTGGGGACCTAGAGCTGGGAGGAGGACGCACCGGGAGGGAGCTGAGCGGTGACGCTGGGTGTCGGCCGCGCCGCCCAGACTTTCCCAGCGCGGGGTTCCGCGGGATCCCAAGCGCCGGCCAGAGCCTTTCCAGGCCCAGCCCACCTGCTCCTTCTCCAGCTCCATCCGGAATTGCTCTGACTCCCTTTTTGTCTCCGCCCCTCACCCCTTCTTTCCTCCTTCCCTTTCCTCCTGACCCTTCCGTTTCCCGTTTCGGTTCCTGATTTCAGACTCATTCCTTTAAACAAAGTTTAAAGGGCAAGGTTTTCCTGCCCCAACCACTCACCATTTATCCTCCGGGTTCAGTCAAAAGGGCTAAAGAAAGCAGCTTGCTGTCCTTCTTCAATGATGTTTTCTAGAAGATTCTATCCTGCTGGGGCCCAGACCAGCTGTAAACCAAAGTTCTTCTTCCTTAGAAAGACGTTGTGGGAACCTCAGTCATGTGTAGACCCCTCCTTCGGTTCCTGCTCCCTGTGGAAACACAATTGATTACATGATGGAGCAACAGTAGTTCATTGGGTCCTTTTTTTTCCCCAAAAAAAGTTAGGAAGGGATATAGTGTATTCTCAAAGACCTCATGCTTCTAGCAGAGAGGCAAAGAAATGTGTGAGCAACTGTCACACAGGGAGATCCCGATGCGCTCACTGTGGATCCAGGTCTCAGGGAGCAGGAGGTTCCTCTGTATTGTGGGAAGATGAGGGACACACATGAAGGGTGTATTTGTGCCAGGCTTGAAGGGTGGCTGCCCTTTGCCCACGGGGAACGAACCAGCAGAATGCACTGGCAGTTGGGAACCACCAGGAACTTTCACTTGAACCTGCTCTGCTGAGCCGCCTGCGCCATCTGTGGACCTGGGCAAGGGCGGCTGCTGAACTGGGAGCTCAGCGCCGATCTCTCTGAGCAGCTTTCTAAACAAGCAAGTGTCTCACAGGTTGAGATTTTAGGGACGCAGTCCTCAATGCTGGCCTGGTTTTAATGAGCACAGTCTTTTGGTCAATCTCCATTGGGCAGACCAGGAGCAAGACATCAATCTTTAAGATAATTTTTAAAGTTGTTTAATTTTGGTAAAAACATAGAACATAAAATTTACCATCTTGACCAATTGTTCAGTGTACGATATGTTGATTTAAACCTCTGAAACCCTGCCTGCTGTTTCTGTAATAAAACCTAGCCCAGACCTAGCGCGGTGGATCACGCCTGTAATCCCAGCACTTTGGGAGGCCAAGGCAGGTGGATCACCTGAGGTCAGGAGTTTGAGACCAGCCTGGCAAACACGGTGACACCCCATAGCTACCAAAAATACAATTAACCGGGTGTGGTGGGGGGCACCTGTAATCCTAGCTACCTGGGAGATTGAGGCAAGATAATCCTTGAACCAGGGAGGCGGAGGTTGCAGTGAGCGGAGATCGGGCCTTTTGCACTCCAGCCTGGAAAACAAGAACAAAATTCCTATCTCTAAATAAATAAATACAAAATAAAGCCTAGCTAGGACTGTAACCAAGTGCACCGGGGACTGGGGAAGTAGTGGAGGGGACGAGACCAGGCCCAGGGAAAAGCCCAGGGCAGGGTCAGCCAAGAACCCCTCAGAGCAAGCTGAGGGAGGGAGAGTGTCGCCGGCCCCTGCGGGAACAGGGAGATGCCGCCGCCCCCGCTGAACATTCCTGTGCAAGCTTCTTCACCTTTAATAAAAATTAATGTGATGATTAAATGAGACTGTCGTGGAAGGAACCGAGTGTTGGCAGGAGCAGGACCACCGCACTTAACCACGTAGCGGAGGCAGGGGCATCTATGATCCACGGGGCCAACAGAGACCCTCCCTGAAGCCTCAGGTGTGAGCTGGGGGTGAGGGGGTGCAGCCATGTGGCATTCTGGGTATCAGGGCCAACTGCTTGTGCAGCTTCTGGGTTCCCTGTGGCCCTGCTCCTGCCCATCCCAGGAGAACCACCTGTGTCTTCTCACTGCCAGGCCTGTTTTCCTAATGACCTAGAGGGTGAGGAGCCTACCTGTGATGGGCAGCTCTGAGGTGGCATGGTCACTGCCCTCCCATGGCTAAAGGCCCCATCTCTGCCAAGGCACAGCACTCTACAGGAGCCGCTTTTTAATGCTGACATTTCCTTGCTGTGAGTGGCATTGCCCTGCATCTGAACATTCACACGGAATCTGTGTTGTGATTCTCCAGTTAGACATTGTAACCACACGTACCTCTAGGATCTTATGGGTTCATGGGTCATTGGGCACTGAAGGCAGGTCCAGCCTCGCTCACCATTCATGGATCGTGGCTGCTTTTGAGCTACAACAGCAGAGTTGAGTAGTTACAGAGGAGAATATATTCCCTGCACACCTTCACATATTTACAAAATTGCCCTTCACAGCAAATGCCAGTGGCCATAAATATCTTTGGAGAAGGCCACAAAGAATCATTGCACTTGCTGCGGGGTTAAAGGGTGCTTCCTCACTGGAAACTGGTGTCTTCTTCTAACGATGGGTTCAGGGCCTGAGAAGTGGCTTAATTCTGCAAATTGGGCAAAGCAGCCTTGTTCTTGATAGACTGGCTACTTTCAGCCTCCTGGTCATCCATCATTTATCTCTGGTTGTTGTAATTATTTACATCCAGCAGTATCTGGGTTGAGTCCCTATCGCTTTTGGATATTGGACCCCTTTGTTCTATGAGCCATGGGCATAGCTTTGTATGGCTGAGGTCCCCAGCTGGCATTGGGACTTCTCTAATCATCTCCATCATGGTACCCTCCTTGCTCCTGACAGCTGACAGCCTCCACCTGGAATCTGCGATTTCAGGATTTCTTATCCCATTACTCCTGGGAGCCCATTTCAGGAACAGCATCTCCTACCCCCACCCCTGGCCTTCAGCAACAGGCATCCCTGAGCCTCCTCCCATTCTGGTGCCTTCTCATGGGGCCTTCTTTATATGTTGGGTAAACAGGAGTCCTCCAGGCTCCCCATGAGCACAGTGGGTGGACATTGTTCTGGATTTTCACACTCAGACCCCTCTGGCATGGGCACTTCTCTGAGCCTGTGATCCCTCCCTCTACTACCTGCCTTAGATTTTCAGATTTTCTGTTTCTTGCTCTGTGGACCATCCCTTTGTCCAAGGTTTCAGGAAGGCATCCTCATAGCAGAAGGGCACTATCACCAGGGGCTTTGCCAACATGTTAAATCCTGTGACCATAACAATTAACTCTGCTTTATCCAAGTGGGTTCCATCCTCACTCCACCGCACGATGCACCGGCATCCGCAGGGGCAGCCCCCACACCCTCCCACCTCCCGCAGTCCACGTGGGCTGCTGCTGAGGATCCTCTGCCACCCAGGCCCTTCCTCCTCTAGCAGGCCTGGCACCTCTCTAGCAAGATCACATGTTGACGATGTGGACAGAGGGTCGGGGGACATGTCTGGGGACATGTGGTTTCTCAGCAGGCAGAGACCTCCTCCTCCTCCTTGTCCTCATGCAAGGGGGAGCACTCTTAAACTTGTAAAGACACCATAGTTCTGGAGGGGACACTCCTTGCTGTGCCAGCTCAGCCCTCCAGAGGCGTTCTCTTATTGTCACAGTGTGGACAGCTCTATCTGGGGGTCTTTTCCTCCCCATCCCACCCTCATGTGCCTTTCTCCACAGACCCTCACTCTCTTTGCTATGATGTGACCATCATCCCTAAGTTCAGACCAGGACCATGGTGGTGTGTGGTTCAAGGCCAGGTAGATAAAAACACTTTTCTTCACTATAACAACACAGTCACACCCACCAGTCCCCTGGGGAAGAAAATAAATGTCACGAAAAGTTGAAAAGAGTAGAACCCAGTCCTGAGAGAGCTGATGGACATGCTCACAGAGCAACTGCTTGGCATTCAGCTGGAGAATTACACACCCAGGGGTAAGTTTAAGATGGTCCAGGACAAGAGGAAGCGGAAACAAGGGTAGGTTAGAGTTTTATAGTTTTCATGAAAAATACAAATGGGAAGGTCATCTCACCCCACAAGAAGCAGAGAGGCAAGGTCAGGATGTGGCAGAGAGAGTAAAGCCTGGAAATTGTAAGGGGAACAGGATGGGGGCTCAAAATGTGTCAAGAGCTGATCTCTCCTCTGTGGGCGCAGAACCCCTCACCCTGCAGGCCAGGATGTCTTGTGAGCAGAAAGCCGAAGGGCACAGGAGTGGATCTTGGCAGTTCAGCTTCGATGGACAGATCTTCCTCCTCTTTGACTCAGAGAACAGAATGTGGACAACGGTTCATCCTGGAGCCAGAAAGATGAAGGAAAGGTGGGAGAAAGACAAGGATATGACCATGTTCTTCCATTACTTCTCACTGGGTGACTGCACAAGATGGCTTGAGGACTTCCTGATGAGCATGGACAGAACCCTGGAGCCAAGTGCAGGAGGTAACGGAAGAAAAGAAATGGGGATCTCGAATTAGGTCAGAAATGGTGATCTCGAGAAATTAGTTCTTGAGTTCAGCTTCAATGATCCCAGTGTACACATTTATGTTAAAATGACCCCCTCGTGGGGGGCTCCTCCTGGGGGCGCCTGTGCTGTCCCAGCCTCCTCTCCCTTCTCCCTCCTGACTCCTCTTCCTCACTGTGCTTGCTTCTGCTGCCCTCACTGTGGATTTCTCACCAGCCTCGAAACCGAAACTGGGTGTCACTGTGTTTTCGGACTTTTCTCCTTTCACCCTCTTTTGAGAATCACTTTTCCTTTCCTTTCTATGGTCTGTTTCAGAAAATCCATCAAAACCACCTCCAATGCCAGCCCTGAGACCCTGCCCTTCCCTGCCCTGGGGCGTCACCTCCTCTTCCTCCACAGCAGGAGGCAGGGCTGTGCTGTTGCCTTGCTTCCCTCAGCAGCTGTGTGAGCTCCCTGAGGACAGTGGGCACCCCCTCTACCTTCCTACCCCAAGGCCTGTTTCAGAGGCTGCCCCATAGCTAGGGGAGTGGGGAAGACAAAATCTTTGCCTTGTAGAATGACCTGGAGAGGCAGCAGCTGAGGAGGTGTCTCCTTAGGTCTGGGGCCTGGACAAGGGTTATCACTCTTGTGTTTCCATTTCAGCACTGCCCATCATGTCCTCAGGCACAGCCCAACTCAGGGCCACGGCCACCACCCTCATGCTTTGCTGCCTTTTCCTCATTCTCCCCTGCTTCATCCTACCTGGCATTTGTGGAGAGTCCTTTAAAGTGACAGGTACCGTGGGCAGAACTTGGAGGGGAGCAAGGGGCAGATGGGTGAGGAGGGAGGACAGGGAAGGAGAATTTCCAGAGTCCTACCCCTCCCCATTGCCAGGACCTTCTCATGCTGACATGAGACGGCTGAATGAGACCTTGTGTCACTTGCTGGCAATGACCTGGGCAGCTCTGCTCTGAGTTCTGATGGATTCTCACCTTCAGAGGCCAGAGGGAAAGGGAAGGGCCCATACCAAGGCTCAGGGTCTGTTCAGCTTGAGAGGGTTTAGCAGGTTCCGGCCTGATTCAGAGCAGGTTCCTACTCAGGAAGGGTATGTGGCCTGCAGGCAGCGGGAATTCAGACACAGGCAGTCCTCTTAATTGGGTTAGGTGTATCACAGTAGCTTTAAAAGGGAAGAGGGGATTCTGTCTCTGAGGCTAAAAGAGTGTGGAAGCCACTGTGCTAAATGCTTGGTTTACAGGTGGGTGACGGATGTGTCTGGTCCTCCAGGAACTTAGAAATCCAGGGACAGAGACGAACACTCGCGTGGCTGCTATAATGAACATACACACATACACAAGTGCACCTCTCTGCTCTTTGCCCTCAGGGCATCTTGATGTGCAGGGTGGGAGAAATTTCCCCAACCCCAAAAAAGAATCTCTTTATGGACCCGTCATCCACCATTATGTCACAAGCTGTGAGCCAAGGAGCTCAGAGCGCAAACTCAATGTAAGCAACCTCTCTGGACTTATTGAAATAGTTGAAAAATTAGTGGTGCCATCTGCTGGACACCACAGGAAGTACTGGTCCAAAGTATTTGATGGTTTCAACATTAGACTATGCACCATTGCTTTAGATTACATGATACCTTTACAATCTGTGCTTTTGACAGGTGCTGTGATTAAAAAAAAAAACCATGAACCCCTGTAAAAATCAGTATGAAATTGGAAATGATGGTGGCTGTGTCCAATCTGCTTCCAAGATTTGAGAAGTTGTGCAGTGCCCAGTAGAACACATGTCCATTAGTAAACATATGTGCTTATTTAAGAATGAATAAGCATACTACTTTTTCAATTTATGTGAAATATTTTCTTAAATTGTGATTAAATTACTAAGTTATAAATATTTATTGTTTAGTCCTAATGACTTAGTCAATACATTCTTGGGTATTTCTTTTATTTTAGGGTTGTCTTGGAAATGTTACGGAGGCACCTTCTGGATTTTCCCTGGACCACTCCAGGCCATAGTCGCAGGCTCTGCCTCCTGCGCGAATGCTCATCTCCATGAAGCCGGGACTCACATGTCACCTTCTTGATAGACTTTCCTGTTCAGGCTACTGAGGACCTGGGCTCTCCCCTCTTTCTTTTCCTCCCTCCAACCTTGTTCCCTGCCCCCTGAATCATCTGTCACCTTCCTACGTCTGATGCAATGCACCTGCTCATTCTGTTCACCTGCTGTCCCCACTGGAGCAGGGATTTTTCTGATTTCTTCAGGGAACCATCTACAGCACAGCCCATTGTCAGTGCTGAGGCTGTACTTACCCTGCCAGTGAATAAATGAGAGGCAGCAACTAGGTCAGGGGCCTCTTTCTTGTCCATTTGTTCACTACATTTTAGACAGTAACTTAGGACATGGTGAGACCAGTGTTTCCTGGGCACAATAAATCGGGATATATTGTGAAGATAAGAAGTAGAAAGAAATGTTAGGTGGAAGAATGTGAATTTTCAAGTACGAGTTGAAAAGAGTGAGAAATAAACCAATCAGGAAAGGGGCAAGGTTGGCTTGGTTGTAGCTAATATGGTAGATAAAGGCAGCCGTCTGCGATAGAGGACCTGAGCTGTGAGGTTCCTCTGCAATGCCGAGACCACCCCCATCACCTGCCCTGCATTCTGTCTTCCGAGGCTGAATGCAAGTCTTGTGACTTCAGTGTCAAGGAAGCCACAGTCCCAGGCCAGAGGAAGGGCTGAGGTGGGCAGTGGAAACAGAGGGGGTGATGCAGAAAGGAACACCTGGAAGCAATGACTTCCAGCGGATAAACAAAAAATGTCACTTGCAAATGGGACAAAAAAGAAGGATATGAAGAACAAGGTGGAAATCATCTGAAATTCCATTATGCACAGTTTAATGTTAGGGTTTTTCTACAATCATATGTAATTTTTATAAAATTATGATCATATAACTTACAATTATTTTAAATGACTAGAAATTACTTTTTTAGGGCAGGGTTAGAGTTCATAGCGCAGAGTTCTCTCTTGCCTCTCTCAGTTAAACCAAATTTTTTTTTTTGCCTCATGTCATTTTATTCATTTTTATTATTTTCAAACTTTTACTTTAAGTTCTGGGATACATGTACAGAATGTACAGGTTTGTTACATAGGTATACATGTGCCATGGTGGTTTGCTGCACCTATCAACCCATCATCTAGGTTTTAAGCTCCACATGTGTTAGATATTTGTCCTAATGCTCTCCCTCCCCTTGTCCCCCATCCCCCGACAGGCCCCAGTGTGTATGTTCCCCTCCCCCTGTCTATGTGTTCTTACTGTTCAACTCTCACTTATGAGTGAGAACATCCAGTGTTTGGTTTTCTGTTCCTGTGTTAGTTTGCTGAGAATGATGGTTTCCGGCTTCATCCATGTCCCTGCAAAGGACTCATTCTTTTTTATGACTGCATAGCATTCCATGGTGTGTATGTGCCACATTTTTTTAATCCAGTTCATCATTGATGGGCATTTGGGTTTGTTCCAAGTCTTTGCTATTGTAAATAGTGCTGTAATAAACATACCAGTACATGTGTTTTTATAGTAGAATGATTTATAATCCTTTGGGTATGTATACCCAGCAATGGGATTGCTGGGTCCAATGGAATTACTGGTTCTAGATACTTGAGGAATTGCCACACTGTCTTCCACAGCAGTTGAACTATACACTTCCACCAACAGTGTAAAAGCATTCCTATTTCTCCGCATCCTCGCCAGCATATTTATTCATTTTTAATTTCAACTTTTATTATAGATTAAAGAGTATACATGTGGGTTTGTTACATATGTCAATTGTGGGAGGCTGTGGCTTGGGGTCCCAATAATCCCAGACAGTAAACATGATACCCAGTGGGTGGTTCTTCAGCCCATATGCCCCTCCCCATACCCCTGTCTAGTGATCTCCACTGTCTGTGATTCCCGCTTTTACATTCATGTGTATTCAATGTTTAGCTCCCACTTATAAACGGGAACCTGCGGTATGCAGTTGCCTGTTCTTGTGTTAGGTCACCTAGGATAATGGCCTCCAGCTCCAACCATGTTGCTGAAAAGGACATGATTTTGTTGTCTTTCATGGCTACATAGATTTCCATGGTGCATGTGTACCACCTTTTTTTCATTCGGTCCACTGTTGCTGGGCACTTAGATTGACTCCGTGTCCTTGCTAGTGAGAATAGCACCGCAATGGACATACGGGTCTATTTGATTGAATAAATTGTTTTCCTTTAGGTATATCCCCAGCAGTGGGATTCTTGGGTCAAATAGTAGTTCTATTTTAAGCTGTTTGAGAAATCTCCAAACTGCTTTCCTTTGTGTCTGAACTAGTTTGCTTTTGCAGCTAAAGTGTCTAAGCGTTCCCATTTCTCCTCAACTTCACCAACATCTGTGTTTTTCTGACTTTAATAATTGCCATTTTGACAGGAATGAGATGATGGCTCACTGTGGTTTTGATCTGCATTTCTCTGAAGATAACTGATATTGAGCATTTTTTTCACGTTTGTCGGCCACTTGCAGGTCTTCTATTGTAAAGTGTCTGTTCATGTTCTTTGCTTATTTTTTCAATTGGGTTTTTTGTTCTTGCTTGTTGAATTGTTATGTTTCTTGTAAATTCTGGATATTAGATGTTTGGCAGATGCATAGTTTGTAGATATTTCTCCCATTTTACATGCTGTTTACTGTGTCGTTAGTTTCTTTCGCTATGCAGAAGCTCAGCACAGCAAAAGTTTAATGAGGTCCCGTTTGTCGATTTTTGATTTTGGTTGCAATTGGTTTTGATGTCTTCATGAAATCTTTGCCAGGCCCTATGTCCAGAATGGTATTTTCTAGGTTTTCTTCCTGGATTTTTATAGTTTTAGGACTTACATTTAAATATTTAATTGACATCAAGTAATCGTACATATATGGTGAAATGCAGGGTTTAGTTTCATTCTTCTGCACATGGCTAGCCAGTTATCCTAGCACTATTTGT